GATGGTTTCCTTCATTCATAAGCCCACTGTCTATCTTTCCTTTTGGAATCTCTTCCCCAAGGCATCTCCTGGCGACCCCTCTCCTTGAAGCCAATTTTAATAGCACTGTAGCACTGTCCTCCCATTGTTCATCGATTTGCTCATGTGAGACTTGTTACTGTTTTTGGCATCTCGAATACAAAGCTGTCAGGCCTGTTTAAAACCTGAGACACACAAAACCTCCTTCAAATGTAAAACCAATTCACAAGGCCTTCACTGATTCAAAGAGGGGGAGCGCATGCAGCACGTCTGCCTCAGGTTAGGCTGTTCATTGAGGGCCATCTTTAGAAGCTAGCCTCTGATCTATACTCCCACTACAAACTAGGTAAAGTAAAATCACAACTGTGGTTCTCAAAGATTAGACTGGAACAAAGAATACAACTAAGGGGAAGTAAAAAGAAGAGAAAAGAAGCTTCAAGGTAAAAAGGATACTTCTAAAGTCTTGCAAACTTGGCAAATTAGATTACTGGAGAAGGTGAAATAAGTAGATCATTATATCACCATTACCCAAACTCTGCACACAAGAACACTCTCTTGATAATGCTTTTTTATTTGTCCCAGGGCTATACCTGTCAGCACTCAGGTAGGTGCTACTCCCAGAGGTACTTGAGGGGTCACTTCTAATGATGGCTGGGGGACTATACAGTATCAGGGATCAATCTGGGGCCCCAGTATGATCTGAGCCTATCAAGCCAGATCCCTGGTTTCTAGTGATATTTATTTTTTATGGGACTCTAGAGAAGGAGGGAAGAGAGGGGTAATATCTGGCCCAAGGACTATATAAAATCCATGAAATCCTGTGGCCTAGACCTGATAAATGATGGGAATGACACAGATACTTCTCCTCGACTATCCACAGCCTTTTTGCTGGGATTATATGGCCTCTGAATGTAGTGGGTAGGGCGTCTGCCTTGCACACGGCCGACCCGGGTTCGATTCCCAGCATCCCATATGGTCCCCTGAGCACCACCAGGGGTGATTCCTGAGTGCAGAGCCAGGAGTAACCCCTCTGCATTGCTGGGTGTGACCCAAAAAGCAAAAAAAAAAAATATATCCAATGGCCCTTGGCATGAAAAATTTCTCTATTCTTGAGACCGGAGCAATAGTACAATAAGTAGGGCATTTTGCCTTCACTCTGCTGACCCAGATTTGATCCTCAGCATCCCATAAGGTCCCCTGAGCACCGCCAGGAGTGATTCCTGAGTGCAGAGCCAGGAGTAACCCCTGTGCATCACTGGGTGTGACTCAAAAGGCCAAATAAATAAATAAATAAAACCCCCCCAAATCAAAAAACAACAACTTCTCCATACTTAGTTTAGAGCAAAGTATGATATTACTCACACATTCCAGCCACATATAGAGTTGACTTTGAAAATAACAAAGAATTTAGGTATCAACAGAAACTTACAAGGGCTAGTAAAAGCAAAACCAACTGGGTGAGAAACAAAATAGTAGCTATCACAAGACAGCAGTAAAAAAGGACTCTCCCAGGACAGGAGGGAAAAAAATAACATTATCTTTCCTGTTTCCCTGGAGCTTCACTTGTATTCATATGAAATAATACGTCTGTAGGGCAAGGCAGGTCTCTGCTTCTCACAGGACAACAATCTCATTTCAGGGTCTGTTGAGACTGGGAACTTCTTTGACATGTGTGGTCTGAGACTGGGAGTCCCTTCTCAATGAACCACCATTCAATGCCAAGCAGCTTTTTCCTAATGTTTGTTTTTCTTCAATGTGTTCAAGCTCTTACATTGTTCTACTCCTAGGGAAAACATGTCCTCAGCAGGTGCCTGAAATAATATACTCCCAGCAATTGCAATTTTGTCAAAGGTTATTTCATTCCATCTAAACTCAAGGGAAATGTGTTGCTTAACAAAGAATTACCACGTTGGAAAGAGTGGGTAAGGCACTTGCCTTGCTTGAGACTGTCCCCAATTTGATTCTCCTCACTGTATATATGGCCCAGCCATGAATGACCCTGGAGCAAAAAACCAGGAATAAGCTCTGAGCATAACCAGGGTGGCCCCAAAATAAGAATTAAAAAAAAAAAGACAAAACAAATACAAGGACATACTAAGTGCTTTAGGGAATCAACCACTCAGATATGACTTTGGTATCTTCTGTCTCCTGACTACCTTCTCAGTAGTTTTATATATTATACTTTTCATTTGTTCACTTACCACAATTGGGTCAACCCCAATTGTGCTACTGGCTACTTGTGATGCTTCTGAGTGATCTTGCAAGCTGACAGGTCTCGTTAGTGCATAACCTGAGTACCAACCCTTGGAGCTACCTACTTGGACCCTCAGAACTAGTAGTTTTATTTTAATTTTTATTTTTATAAAGTTGTTCACGATTATTTATCATGGTCAATATCCCAACACCAATCCCACCACCATTACTTCCAATTTTCCCAACCCCCAGCCAAGTCTGCCCCAATAGCAGGCCCTACATAATTTATCTTATAGTGCTTGTTATGAATAATTTGCTATATATGATCGAGAAATATTTCCTTAGAATGAAGTATATAAAGATTATTGCATCTCACTGGAGACATTAAGCCTGTAAAGGTAAAGGTAAAGGCCCTCCCGTTGATCGTCGATTTGCTCGAGCGGGCCCAGTAACGTCTCCATTGGAGACTTTGTTGTTACTGTGTCTGGCATACCAAATACTCTCGGTAGCTTGCCAGGCTCTCTGAGAGGGGCAGAGGAATCGAACTCGGGTCGGCCATGTTGGCCGCTTGTAAGGCGAACGCCCTACCCGCTGTGCTATCGCTCCAGCCCATTAAGCCTGTATATAAGAGATTACTAACATGTTGTTACAGGTTAAGCCTTGTGTAGAACTAGTAGTTTTAGTAAATGACTTTAATAAGCAATATACTGCTGTGTCCTTCTTTGACACAGAAATGGCATTTCATTGTGTCTCTACATGTTTCATGTCAGGGCCACTGTAAATGATTTCTCCTAAGCTTGTTTTCAGGGTGCAGATCATTTTGCAGGTTTTTCACGTAACAGAGCAAAAGGTTCAATTCAAGCTTGCTTAAATTATAAGCAATTAATTTAGGCTTCATTTACCTCAAGGAATATTCGGACATATACATTTACAGATAAATCCTGGGAGTGTCAAATTATGCCATCAAGAGAAAGTAAGTTCTTTGCAATTTTTGGGGTGTGTATCTGCTATAGTCAAGGTTTTGTTTGCTTTGCGGGTGGGGACATCAGATTTTTTAATAAAATAGTATATCTTGGGACCAGATAGTACAGTGGGTAAAGCATTTGTTTTGGATGCTGAGGACCCAGGTTCCATCAGGGTTCTATCCTTGGGACCACATATGGTGCACCAAGTTTCCCAGGAGTGATTCCTAAGGGCAAAGGCAGGAAATAGCCCTGAATACCGCTGGGTGTGGCCAAAAAAAAAAAAGAAGTTAGAAATCAAAAAAACGAAATCTCTTTAGGAGTTCAGAAAGATTGCTAATGCATGGGGGGAGGGGGGATATTACCTAAATATATTTATAGAGATATGTTTCCAGGCCACACCTTGCAGTGCTCAGGGCTTACTTTTCTCCTGACTCTGTACTTGTCTCTTAAATCTTTTAAAATTTCACAATTTTCCTTCCTGAAAATTCTTGAAGAAGTCCTATGTGGCAGTTATTGATTTAATAAATTGTACATGTTTCTTTAGATTTAAAACATAAATACTAAAAAGTGCAAAAAAAATCGTGAATGAACCTACAACTCCCTATTTTGGTGAATTCCATTTTTTCAGGCAAATGAATTTTCTTTTTTTCACAAAACTTTTAAAACAGTTCCATACAGGGAGCCAGTACAGTGGTTAGCGCGCTTGCCTTGCACGCAGCCGACCTGGATTCGATCCCCCAGTACCCCACATAGTCCCCGGAGCCCACCAGGAGTAATCTCTAAGTACAGAGCAAGGAGTAAACCCTGTAGCACCTCCGGGTGTGGCCCCCTCGCTCCCCCCCACCCCAAAATTTACATACAGTACAAACCATTCTATAACGTGTTCCTTTTTTTATTATGTAAATTTACAGCGCCAGGGCAAAGAAACTTGGCAAGATGATGAGGATGATGGCAAGAAGAGGAGGATGGGGCAGGCGAGCTGTAACAGCATCACGCTGCCAAAAACCACCTCCCATGAGCGGCACTGTGCAAGGCTTTGCCGAGGGCCATCAAGACCACTCGGTGACCCAGAGACTCCAAAGTTGGCCGCGCGGCGCCCAGAAGCCGGGCAGGCAGGCCGGCCAGCCGTGGGCGGGGCGCTGGAGGTCGTTCAGGGTGACTGCAAGCACGGGGTCCCCGCGCGGTCAGCAAGGGCCCCGGGCCAGTCCCGCAGGCCCCCAATCCACCTGAGGGACCCCAGGGCTGGAGGGCAAGCCGCGGTGCCACTGCGCGGTCAGGGTCCAAGCCGCGAGCCACCCCCCTTCCCAACTCCTAGGGCTCGGCGCCACTGTGGGGCGGCGGGCCGAGATAAAAACGGGGCAAGGTTCCTGCAAGTCCGAATCGGGAAGGCGCAGTCTGATACCGGCCTTCGCCTGACCGCGGGGCGTGTGGTTCCAACTGTTGTTTGAGGACACCCGCACCCCAGTGACCTTCCGCAAACACCTCTTGATCACGCTGGCAGCCAGGGATGCTCTCGGGGGTGTTGACCGAGGTGGGCCCCCACGCCCCCGGACGCAGGCCTCCGGGCCCTGCCGCACCCCATCCCCTCGCGGGACCCCCGCCCTCCGCCCCGCCGGCCACTCCCGCCCCGCCACCCCGAGCTCCAGGCGTCAGCCCCGCGGGGGTGGGGGATTTTCGGGAGCTCGGCCCGCAGGGCTCCGCGGGGGAAGGGCCCGCACTGTCGCTCCGCCCTCAGGGGCGGGAGCCGGAGCGGGGCCGAACCAGGGACGGGAACTGGGGCCTGACCGCGGAGACGACAGTGCTCCGGGACTCGGAGGAGTCGCCGCCGCCGCCGTCGTAGTCGTCGTCGTCGCCGCCGCTGCCCGCGCCGCCCTGCCCGCGCCGCGCCTCGGCCGCCGGGACGGGGTAGCCGTCGGGGACGCCTAGAGCACGGGCTCCCCCTCACCCCGAATTCAGCATGATGGACTTGGAGCTGCCGCCGCCGGGGCTGCCGTCCCAGCAGGTGCTGTTCTGGCCTGGGGAACACCCCTTCTCACCCCCCCCCCCCCACTGCACACCACACACTCACGCACACACACACGCACGCACGCATGCAAGCACACATCCTCCGCCTGCATGCAGGCTCGCGGGGGGACACCGCACCGGGTTGGGGGGGTGGGTGGGGGACGTCTTACGTCGGTGACCCGAGAGCCGGGGGCGCGGCGGCCGCACGCTGGAGCCGCTGCGCCTGCGCGGGGCGGGGAGCGGGAGCCGCCGGGACCCCAGGAGCCCTGGTGGGGGAGGGAAGCGGAGGCGCGGCCGGCGATTCCCCCGCACCCGACACAGGCACACACCCCGACCCAGCGCGCGCCGTCCCCCCGGACGGCCACCCCGGGAGGCTGGAGGCCCTGGATCGCAGCACCGCGGGCGAAGGGGGCGGCTCCGACCGCGGCGCCGAAGCCGGGCGCCGGAGCCCGCGGCCGGTCCCCCGAGTTCAGGCGGCCGCAGAGGCGGATGGGCAGGAGGGGGGCGGACACCGGCGGTCTGAGCCGGCGCGGGCCCGGCCCTTCCGGGGTTGCGCGGCTCCCCCGCCTCGGAGCCGGCAGAAAAATGTGCCTAGTCACGGGGCCGCTCTTGGGGGAGCTGAGGTCTCCTCCGGGCCGGGACCCAGGGACGCCCCTCGAACCCCGGGCCCCGGGAGCCACGCGCTCCCCGCGAGGCTTACGTCTAAGGGCACTTCTCTACCAGGCGCCAGGCCCTGGGTGCGCCGGGGCCTCTCGGGCAGCTGGGCGAGAAAGCACGGGGCCCCCGATCGGGGACGGGGGTGGGGGTGACCCCCGACGTGCGCTGGCCCCTGGCCGTGTGCAGCGCGCATAGTCTTGCGCTTTGTAAAGTCTCGGCTGCGAGGAGACCCCGGGGCCGGCCCTCACTACTCTTCACCCCTAGTGCGGCAGGGGTGGCAGCTGAATCCCGCTCGGAGTCCACCGCGCCCCCGTTTGCCCTTCCCCAGGAAGTGTCCCCGGCCGGCACGCGTCGCGTGCGCCGGTGGCGGTGTCCAGGCGACTGGGGCCGGTTGGCCGTCGCGGCGGCCCTCGGCGGGCCCTTTCCTGCTTTATAGCGTGCAAACCTTGCCGCGTCGGGGCCAAGGGACAAGTTGGAGCTGTGGATCGGTTGCGCAATTGTTATTTTCCCCAAGGCGGCTTTGTCTTTGGATTCAGGGTTTCAGAATTGCAGTTCCAAAATGTGTAAGGCAGGATATTCTGTTCTGTGCTGTCAAGGGTAAGAGTTGCGAGTGTAGATTAGAATTTCGCCTAGGCTGTTACTTATTTTGGCTTCTCTATATGATTTCTCCCGTGGGTAGTTTTCTATTGGAGTATCTGCTCCGATGTGTATATCTTATTTTTTAGTGTTTTGCTGCTTTTGCAAGGGCAAGAGGTGGAACACTTGTATGTATATACAAGTGCTTTGCTGACGAGCTCTGTAAATTGCTTCAAAATTGAAAAGTTTCTCTTTGTACTTTGTAGGGTCTTTTAAAAAGAAGCATATATACATGTATGTCTGTAGGTATAGTAATTAGGGTTCTTTTAGGAAAAAATACTTGTTTCAGGAAAATGTGTAATAGGAAGAGTAAATACGGGCATGCTCTTCAAATTTAGATTGCTCCTATAGTGCCAAGATGCTTTAAGTAATTGGCAGTGTATTAATTTTGCTTCCTTCCCCCTTAAGGCATTTGACACAAACTTTTACCCCCTTAATAGTTAGGGTTGTACCCCCAGCCCTCACTACTATGAAGGAATAAATTGTACTTTTTGATTTAGTTGCTGCTGGAGAATAATTTATGTAGTGTATTCTGACGGAAGCATATACCATATGAACAACAGGTTTTATATTTTTTCTGAATTCAGGAATTATCCTAGAGCCCTCTAGTATTTAAATATTTTTCTTACTGTGTCATTTAACATTTCACTTGTAAAGTGTATGCATATAGGTTAAGTACTGTGCTCTCAGTGTGTATTGTCGGTTATGTTTGATAGGATAATTACTTTTTTGCCTTTGTCTTCAGACATCATTTTAAAGACAATGAAAAAAGAAAATGAATTAAAATATGTAGACTTGCTTTCATGTCTATAACTATGGTCCATGAGAGATTATTGCTGCTTTAAAAAGTTTTAACTGAGAGGCAAAGGCGAATTCTCACCTTTTGTGGAAAGAACTCTGGGTGGGAGGTGAGGTGGTACTGGGGTCCAGTTTTCTACCTTCTCTTCAAAAGAGTGTTGATGAACTGAGCAGGGCAGGAAGAAGACACTCAGACTCTAAGCCCATTAGGTGGATGGAACTGTCTATTCTTCTCAGAGGTGTCCTGGAAAGATAAAGGACTTCTGCGTATGAGAGATGAAGTTGGTCTTGGACTAGAGCGATAAGATTGTTTTTAAACGAAAAATAGCTCCAACCTCCCATCTCCTGAATGAATGTTAAGTTAAGATGGGTGTATGGCTTTTTAGATATGTGAAAAATTGAGAGATTGTGGAAAGCAGCATATGGAAGGACCAATACACAACTCTAGTCTTCCTGGGTTAAAAATAACTTGGGACATTTGGGGATTTCTTTCTTGTTAACTTTGTAACTTTTAACTTGTAAACAATGCTGGGGAAAAGTATCCCTGGTTTTCTATGGGATAACTGAAGAGAGTTGAAAGTCAGATTATTTTTATTTTGGTTTTTAGTCAAGATGAGCTACACTTACGGGAGTTGCAAGGGTAGAGGAACCCTCTGAGGATTAGAAGAACTTCCCCTTGTGCCCTCTCCCCCCTAACCTCCCCCCACCCCCGAATTTCCTCTGCACTGGCTGAATACCTGTAAAGGGGGCTTTGCTTCAACATTACATCCTTTTCACTTTTGTTTTGTTTTGTTTGGGGCCTACACCTAGTGGTGCTCAGAGCTTACTCCTGGCTCTGTGCTCAGATCACTCCTGGTGGTACTCAGAGGACCTTATGCAATGCTGGGGTTTGAACCCAGCTGGACCATGTGCAAGCCAAGTGCTGTAATCCTGTGCTATCTCACCAGACCCAACATCCTCTTCATTTTTTCCCTTTATCTGGCACTACTGTGATAACAGTTCAGCTCATGGAGCTCTTCCTTGTGTGCCAGGTAGTGCAATAATTGCTTCACATGCATAATTTCACAGTAACCCTGTGGGAAATACTGTTCTCTCTAGTTTCCAGGTGAGAAAATGGAGCCAAATGTGACCCAGCTATTGAGAGGGAGGAAGGGTGTGTGCAGGCTGTTAATCTAAGGCTCACTCGCCACTCCCAGGACTCCTTCAGCTTTGAGCAGGTGGGGAAAAACATGGGGTAAAGACAGATAGAAATGAAAAAGATTAAATTCTGCACCTTTCTGCTTACCTAGAAATTCCCTGACTGTTTGTACCAGGAATATGCATCTTTTTAAATAGGAAGAGTAAACCTCATGTGTCAGTGGAATTATTTAAAAGGTTGGGGTGCGGGGGTGCTCAACTTGGTGGGAATTGGAGGCAGGAGGTAATTTGAAGAGGCTGGACTTTCAAAGTTCCCAGGGTTTTACCAGTGTGCAGAGATAACTAGCTTGAAGATAATAGGTTTTTCAGGGATTGTTTTCTCTTTTTCTTAATTAAATCTCTTAGCTACTGGAGTGTTTGTTCACCTTTGTTTGCCTTGTGAGTACATTCTTCTGTTCTGTTGACTCTTATTTTTGAAGGAGTGTGAAGAATAAGGTTGGTAGTGGTAAAGATATATAGAAACAATGAAGAGAGGGAGAGACCAGCGTAAACCAGGTTCAAGGCAGAATATATTCTGAAGGATTATGAAAAGATTCCTTGGCACAGTGCTATGTGGCCATTCCTTCTAAACCTGCAGATCAAGACTTTGGCGCCTTTAGTATAGGTAGTGGTTCGCAGACCTGAACTCCATTGCTTTTTCAAAGTTAAATGAGATAAGGAAAGAAATATATTTTGGCTTTGGAAGTTGCTTCCTTTGATTTCTTTCTTTCTTTCTCTCTCTCTCTTTCTTTCTCTCTCTCTCTCTCTCTCTCTCTCTCTCTCTCTCTCTCTTTTCCTTTACAACTTGATTGTGAATTCCTCTAGAGGTAGGCAAAGAATTTCTATTCCTGGGGTTGGAGCAGTAGTATAGTAGGTAGGATATTTTCCTTTTACAGAGCCAACTAAGGTTCAGTCCCTAAAATCCCACATGGTCCTCTGAGCACTACCAGGAGTAAGAATTGTGGGTGTAACCCAAAAAGAAAAAAATCTATTTCTTAATTTTTTAAATAGTTTGTGAGACAAAATTCACACTCTATACAGTCTATTCATTTTGAAGTAGCAGTTCAATGGATTAATGTAATACAGGGTTTTATAATCATCAACATAAGTATAGGTAGTGGTTCGCAGACCTGAACTCCATTGCTTTTTCAAAGTTAAATGAGATAAGGAAAGAAATATATTTTGGCTTTGGAAGTTGCTTCCTTTGATTTCTTTCTTTCTTTCTCTCTCTCTTTCTTTCTTTCTCTCTCTCTCTCTCTCTCTCTCTCTCTCTCTCTCTCTCTCTTTTCCTTTACAACTTGATTGTGAATTCCTCTAGAGGTAGGCAAAGAATTTCTATTCCTGGGGTTGGAGCAGTAGTATAGTAGGTAGGATATTTTCCTTTTACAGAGCCAACTAAGGTTCAGTCCCTAAAATCCCACATGGTCCTCTGAGCACTACCAGGAGTAAGAATTGTGGGTGTAACCCAAAAAGAAAAAAAATCTATTTCTTAATTTTTTAAATAGTTTGTGAGACAAAATTCACACTCTATACAGTCTATTCATTTTGAAGTAGCAGTTCAATGGATTAATGTAATACAGGGTTTTATAATCATCAACATAATCAGTTGTAGGACACTTGCATTGCCCTCCCAAAAATACCCATACCCATAGCTCTCTCTCCCCATATCCCCTCAGGCAGTTAATTTAGCCCTGACAGCTTCTCCTCAATTTATTTTTATGGAGTTGTCAA